GGAGGAGGAGGAGGAGGCGGGGGCGGCGGAGGAGGAGGAGGAGGAGGAGGAGGAGGAGGAGGAGGAGGAGGAGGCGGAGGCGGAGGCGGAGAAGGCGGAGGCGGAGGCGGAGGAGGAGGAGGAGGAGCAGGCGGGAGGAGGAGGAGGAGGAGGAGGAGGAGGAGAGCACCACGCTCACTCACGCGAAAAACGATATGAAGCCCGCGGATTGCCCGCGCTGTGGTGGGGACGTGCATGCGGTGCTGGAGCTGTCTCGCCGCCCAGTCGACCGCTGTCTGTGACGGGATGGTGCCGTTCGTGACCAAGGTGGCCATGCGCTCCGAGAGGGCTCGAAACGTTTTAAGAGGTCCATCAGCTTCGCCGCGCTCGAGGGGCTTTTTTTTGCGCCAGCCCGATGCTCCGCACTCCCTTGTGAAGCTTGAGGCCTGGGTCGGAGTAAGAGGATGAGTTGGAGCAAGAGGATTGGTGTGATGGACGGGGAAGGGGCGAGAGAACAGCGGGGAAAAGGGGTTGAGTGAGGCAGGGGCAGTCGCAGCTTGCCCTCCAGTGCACCCCGATTGGGAGCTGGACTGCCAGAGCCACTACGTCTTCTACAAGGCACTGACGCGCGGCCCGCGCTTTCACTTGCCAACCTCGCTATCGCAGCTGTTGCTGTTGCTGATGCTCCTCCTCTCCATCCATGTCATGGTCATCTTACCATCTTGCCAAACCCTCCTTCTCGGCCCGTTCTCCTCCCGCTTCCCCCCCGCGTAGCTGATGCGCCGCTTTCCCCTGTCTGGCGCAGGTCCCATCCCGTCCTCTCTGGGTGCTGGCAGAGGTGCCACTGCTGCGGTCCTGCTGCGCCCGCCTTGAGACCAGATCCAGGCTGGACTCGGAAGCGACCGGGGGCTCTCCGCTCTGGCTGGGGCCCGAGAGAGTCTGTCAAGAGGGGGGACGGGCAGGTCCGCTCAAAATCCCGCCCCCTCCTCCTCCTCCTCCTCCTCCTCCTCCTCCTCCTCCTCCTCCCTCTTCTTCGTCCTCCTCCTCCTCCTCGTCCTCCTCCTCCTCCTCCTCCTCCTCTCCCTCCTCCTCCTCCTCCTCCTCCTCCCCTCCCCCTCCTCCTCCTCCTCCTCCTCCTCCTCCTCCTCCTCCTCCTCCTCCTCCTCCTCCCCTCCTCCCCCCCCCCCTCCCCGGGTCGACCCCGACTGGGTTTTTCGAGTCGCGCCCAGCCCAGCTCCGGCGACGAGGGGGCGGGGCCGTCCGTTCTCCCCCTCCCCGTCCTGCTGGCCGGAGCCGGCGCCTTGGCCGCCGCAGCCCCAGGAGGAGGGGGAGGAGGAGGAGGAGGAGGAGGAGGAGGGAGGGAGGGAGGGAGGGAGGGAGGGAGGAGGGAGGAGGGAGGAGGGAGGAGGGAGGAGGGAGGCCATCTCCAACACCCTGGCGTCGCCCGGGCGTGTGCATTTTGCCTCGGCGAGGGCCATCCGGGAGCATCCCGGATCATCGCGCGAACAACGTGCGCACGGACCCGAAGAATGCAAGGGGCATGGACGTCCGAGCGGTGGCGGGACACTAGGCCTCCCCCCTCCCCAGGTGCTGCCAGGCGTTTCGCTGTCGCCACTTTGCTGCTCTCCTGGGGGGTCCAGCGGGGTGCGGTGTTACCCAGATCCAAACAGGACCTTGGCCTCCGGGGTGCTCTGGGCGGTCGTTTGCGGACGTCGTCCGTTCCTCTCCCCTCCACTTGCTTCTCTTTGAATCGCTTAGGTGTGCATCTCCATGGCTCTGTTGCAGCTGTCAGAGATCGCGTGCCTCTTCGCATAGTCATTGTGTCTGGCTGGGCCCGCCGATGCAGCCACATGTTGCAGATGGGTGGCTTACGCCCCTGAGCAACTTGGCTTTTCGGGGACATCGCCAGGAGGCTCCGTGGCTACCTCGGGCCGTCTTGTGACGACACTCGGGGCCTCTTGGAGGCACGATTCAGGCCACTCTGATCCAGCACACAGCGAGTTTCTTGCGCCATCTTGGAAGTCATCGTGGGATACCAGGGGCCATGCTGCAGTCATCTTGTGGACGCTCCAAGCCCTCGGAGCCCCCCCTCCCATTCCCGAGGGAGTGGTAGATTCGTCCCCGCTGGGGGAGGATGGGGCTGGTGGGAGTTGGTGGCGCGTCGGGCAAGTCAGCCAACCACACACACACACACATCCAGTGAGCAGTGCGAGCCAGGAGGGTACCGAGTGAGCGCCAACATCAGCAGACGGCGCAGCGCGACGACGTCGTCAACATCTTGGCTCAAGAAAGGACGCAGAGCAACGTACGACTCTGCAGGGAGCGAACGGCGTTGACCTGTCCGTACTCGCTCATTCGACATTCCAAGCTTTACAGCTCACATGGCGACCACGGTCACTCTTAAGATCAAGTGCCATGAAACAGTGCATCGCGTGCCGCTGCAGTCTGATCAGGTGAATTACGAGGCCATCGCGCAGACCATCCGAGCGATCCATCCAGGCGAGGCTACTGCAAAATACCATGACGATGAGGGCGATGTGTGCGTTCTTTGTGCGGCCACCTTCTCGGACTTCTTGAATCTGAGTGCTCCCGTGGGCGACAAGACTGTCCTCAGGCTGGAGCTGTCCTCTGCGGCCCCGGCTTCCACAGGTGCCCAGCCGTCGGAACTGGCCGGGATCGACGACGCGAGCCCCACGGGCGGGCCGAAGGGCAGTTTCAAGGGCAAAGGCAGGTTCAAGGGCAAGGGCAAGGGCGAGTGCAAGGGCGAGGGGAAGGGGGACTTCCACGGCAAGGGCAAGCGCAAGGGCAAGTCGGGCCCCGCGATGGGCTTCGAGTTGTTCCACAACTTGGGCAGCATCGAAGGTATGATGCAACGCGCCTCCGCTGAAGGCGTGAGCCCCCCTGGCTGCGCCTTCGGGTCCTGCGGCGGCGGCCATGCGACTGGAGCAGTGAAGCTGGGGCGCGCCATGTGGCAGCTGCACTCGGCTGGCATGACGAGCGCCAGGTGTGTGGCGGCGGTCGTCGCGAACTCGCTGGACGACCTGGTCACCTTCGCGGTGGAGCAGTCTGACGTGATCGACGTGGCGGCGAACGTCCAGCCAGAGATGACTCAGCAAGTCATGGAGGTAGTGTTCGCCAGTGCCGTTGGCGTCGAGGGCCTTGAGGACTGTGCGGGCAAGATGAAGGCAGCACTGGCGGGCGAGCCCGTCCCCGCCAGCGAGGTGCTGTTGGGGTTGCTGACAGCTTTGATCGAGTTGACCTTCAGCGCCCGCGTGTCTTTTCTCGAGGCTCTGTGCACCAGCCAGCGAGAGGGCATCGCCAGCCTCTTCGACATGGCCCGCCCATTCTTGGCCATGCTGCCGCCCATGCGTGTCGAGCACCACCGCGTCACCTGCGACGGCTGCGACCAAGCGCCCCTCCGAGGGCCACGCTTCAAGTGCACAACCTGCCCGGATTGCGACCTGTGTGCGCGCTGTTTCGCGGACAGGGGGTCCGCCTGTGGCGGCAAGTGCAGTGGCCACGAGTTCGAGACGATCACGACCTGCAAGGGCAAGGGCAAGGGCAAGGGCAAGGGCAAGGGCAAGGGCAAGGGCAAGGGGAAGAGCAACCTCGACGACGCTGCGCAGCGGGGTCCCGACGCACAGTGCAAGTGCGAATCGGAGTGCAAGGGCAGGCGCTGCGAAAGCAAGGGCTGTGAGCTCCACGAGCCGCTGCGCGGAAAGCTGTCCACGCTGGGTGCCAAGAACTTTGCCGATGAGCCCTCGGCCTCGAGTGCAGCAGCAGCCGTTGACGACAAGGCCAGCAGCGCACACTTCGACGTCTCGTTCCCTGTGGCTGTCGGCGATGGCCACCATGCGACGCTTTACTGGAACTTCGGTGACGACCCGCAGCAGGTGGCCGAGGCCTTCGTTGCGCAGCACGGTGTGCTGCCAGAGGAACTGCCCACGGTGCTCCGCTTCGTGGAGCACTGCATGGCTGAGGGCGCGGACCAGCCCGCGTGCGAGGAGTCCCCGGTTGCGCCAGCTGTACCAGCAGCTGCAGATAGCCCGGCCAGCAGCGCACATTTCGACGTCTCGTTCCCTGTGGCTGTCGGCGATGGCCACCATGCGACGCTTTATTGGAACTTCGGTGACGACCCGCACCAGGTGGCCGAGGCCTTCGTTGCGCGGCACGGTGTGCTGCCAGAGGAACTGCCCACGGTGCTGCGCTTCGTGGAGCACTGCATGGCTGACAGCGCAGAGCAGCCCAAGTGAGGCAGTAAAGCGGTTGCTGAATCAGTGGTGCCTTTGATCGGATGCTGGTGATTCAGAGCGGACCCTGCGTGAGACACCAGAATGGCGTGTCGGCGATGCAGAGCGGGGCTGCTTTGGGAACGTCTATCCGACAGGAAACGATTGCACGTGTAGGACGTTGTTCCAGTAAGCAAGTGTACCTTTTCCTTGAAGCATAGAGTGAGATGAAAAAACGGCGCAGCGCGATTGTTCCCCCTCCCTCTCCCTCTGTCTCTCTCACCGCTAGCCTTGCGGGCTTCTGTTTCTGCGACTAGGGGTTCGTCTGTCTCACCTATGCGCACCAAGAGCTCCGATATCGTTTTGTTGTTGTTTGTTTTTGTGTTCGTTACACAACGTGGACGTCCGGAGGTCTGGGTCAGTTCCCCGGGATCTGTTTTTCATCCTGGGCTCCCAGAGTTTTGAAACGACTAGAAGCCTCGCGTCGCGTTTCAGAAGAACGCGGCTCGATCCGATGCGAGTCCTCTAGTCCAAAAATTCGATGTGGTCCGATGCGTGCATGGCGCAGATGTGCATCCTAGCACAGCCGATCCGATTCGATTTCGATTCCGTGCCGATGCGGCCGGAGCCGACGCGCGTTCCGGTCCGATTTGCCGATTCGACGCCGATTGATCTCGCGCGCTGCCCCCCAGCGGGAGGCGCCGCAGATCTCCGACGTGCTCTTTCACATTGTGAGCCCCTGGAGGTCTGGATGCCTGCCCCGTGACAGGTCTTCTTTCCTGGGCCGTTTTTTGCCAGCCCTGGGGCCCGGCAAGGGCCCCCGGGGGCAGAGCGTGATTTACCTACCCCGCTTTCGCTTCCAGGCAAAACCAAGCCATACCACGCGCCTCCTTGTCCAGCGGCCTGCCCAGTGCAGGCCGTAGTTTGGCATCGCTTGGTATCTTTTGGAAGCGAGGGTGGTCAAAAGCGAGGTAGGTTTGTTTGCCCCCGGCCCCCTCCACACGGGCGCGGCAGCGGGCCGCCCGCCCTCCTCCTCCTCCTCCTCCTCCTCCCTCCTCCTCCCTCCTCCTCCTCATCCCTCCTCCTCCTCCTCCTCCTCCTCCCCCTCCTCCTCTTCCTCCTTCGCCTCCGCCTCCTCATCCTCCTCCTCCTCCTCACTCTCCTCATCCTCCTCCTCTTCCTCCTCCTCCTCCTCCTCCTCCAACCTCCTCCTCCTCCTCCTCCTCCTCCTCCTCCTCCTCCTCCTCCTCCTCCTCCTCCTCCTCCTCCTCCTCCTCCCCCCCCCCTCTACAGGAAGAGCGGGGGCCGAATACGGCCACACAGCTTCCGTCGTGCTCTGGCGCGCGGGCAGCCCCGTACCGGGGAGGGCCAGAGGCGCCCGCCCTGCGCAGGAGCGGCGTGGGCTTCGGCGTGCGCGCTCCGCGCCGCAGCGCACGCCGGTGACCGAGCGGTGCCCTGTTCGCAGCGACGCGTCTCGATCCAAGGGCTCCCACGAGGGCGCGAAGTTGGTCGCGCTTCGCGCTTCGCGGGCCTCATTCCTCCTCCCCCTCCTCGTCCTCCTCTTCCACCCTTTTGGGGGCGGCGCGAGAGCGCGAAGCTGTTCGCGCTTCGCCCCTATCGCAGCGCGAAGCGCGAAGTGAGGAGCCCTTGCGATCCGATTCGGTTCCGATCTAACCCGACGACCTCCCCAGACATCCGACGTCTCGATTTTTTCGAGACGCGGGCCCCCGACCTCCCGACCACTTCCCCGGGACCGGTTTTTCATCCCGAGCCGTTTTTTGACGGTCCCGAGGCCCAGCGAGGGCCTCGAGAGGCCGCGAGACGACGAAGAATCTCCGTCTCGAGTTCTTCGAGACGCCCGATGTCTGGGTCCTGTCGCCGCGAGAGGAGGCGTGCGGGCTGGCACGGCGCGGCCCCGTGGCCGCGCCGCCTGCCGGCGGGGCTCCGCCTGCCCGCCCTCCCTGCGGGCCCAGGTGGAGGACGGCCAGAAGAAGATCCGCGGGCTGTGGTTCCACGAGGACGCCGAGCGCCAGAAGGTGGAGGCCGGGCAGCGGCGAGGGCGGCGAGGGGGGGGCGGCGGGGACGGCGAGGAGGGCGACGAGGGCGCCGAAGACGGCGCGGGCGGCGAGGACGACGAGGAGGGCGGCGAGGTGGGGCGACGGGGACGGCGAGGAGGGCGACGAGGACGCCGAAGACGGCGCGGGCGGCGAGGACGACGAGGAGGGCGGCGAGGTGGGCGACAAGGACGGCGAGGAGAGCGAGGAGGGCGACGACGACGGCGAGGAGGACCCGGGCCTCCTCGCGCCGTGGACCGAATCACGACGGCGTTTTTTTTTTGTTCGTCGTCGTCGTCGTCGTTGTCCGCCGCCCGTCGTCCGTCGTCCGTCGTCCGTCGTCGTCGTCGTCGTCGTCGTCGCCGGCGTCGTCGTCGTCGTCGTCGTCGTCGTCGTCGCCGTCGTTTCCTGAGATCCGACTTCGCGAGCAAGTTGCAGCATCGTAGCGCGGGCACGCTGGGCGACCTCCT